CACACACACACACACACACACACACACACACACACTAAAGTATATGCACCGCGTAGTTACAATAGAGCTCTTACGCACCGCCCCATTGGTGCATACTATATGCAAGCAAATGGAAACTGGGGTCCCTGTTTCAAGCCGTTCGTTCCGGCGTCTTGGTAGTTTAAGCCCTTTCGCCCCCAAAAGGTCCAGGGGTAAACCCCACAACCCACATAACCCACACACCCAAAAGCTCACCATGGGTTTCCCGCGAACCGACCTTTTTGCATTTTGGGGGGCCGGAAACGTCATTTGACGGGGCTGCCGAGACAAAAAGAGGCTGTGCTTACGACCGCACCCCCGATCACCCCTCCCTTGCTCCCCCGAAGGGGAAGGTGTCTCTTTTTGTTTCTTACTACTTCCCTTCCTCTTCCTCCACACGTCCTTTTGTTTTGGTCAGAGTCGTCGTCACTCGCTCGCTCGGTCCCATACTTTCTTCGTTAATTCTTTAACTGAGAGGATTTTATTTTTATTTTTATTTCTTGGTAGAAGAGGGGATCGTTTTGCTGCAGCTCAAAGGGGGCCGACAACGCTGGTGGGGATTACAGGTATAACTCGCGAACCCTAGTTCTCTTGTCCAGCTCTCTTTCAGCTCTCAGCCTTACACAACAGCATCGAGGAAATTTCAGCCTAATGGATTAGAAATTGCCTGGTGTGTAGAAATTCGGGTTATTTTCCGTTCAACCTTTTCCAACTTCTGCACCTTTTATGTTTCTGCCTGTGGTTTTTGGGCTTCCATCGATTCACGCGTAACACGGTTGATGGACGCGTTGGGCTCGAGTGAATATCTTACTGGTTCAACACACGGATCGATTGCGGGATACTGCGCTTGAAGGAAAAACGACTGTACGAAACTGAACAAAAAAACGATAAACAAAACGGTTGTTGAAGAGACGTGTGTGGGATACCGGTACAAACGACAAACATACGCATAAGAAATCATGCACACAGCACTACCAACATGGCTCGCTCTGGCAGCAGCAATAATACCCAGCGCAACGGCGTTTTACCCGTACCACTACGACGGCGGTAGCACTTCCTCATCGCCGTCCCCACGGTCGCAACAGTTCTCTCGATCCTCGAAGGAAACCACTGCGCGCGGTGTCACGCTTCCTCTGCGCCGCATCGCCACAGGCCTACATTCCCGGCAGAGCAACGTGTACAACATAGTCAACTCGAAGGACCCGAGTCAAGAAAAGAGCGTGGCCATAGACCAAGATGGCAAGGATCTCAGCTACATGGTCGCCGTGACCTTTGGCGATAGCAAAGAGGAATACCACATGCTGCTCGATTCCGCAGCTAGCAACACATGGGTCATGAGCCAGGACTGCAAGAGCGAAGCGTGTAAAACGCATACTTTGTTCGGCAAGGGCGATTCAAGCACCCTCAAGGTACGTTACCCTAACTTCTCTCTCTAGAGAAGCCATTAGCATTGCACAACCCAATACTAACACGCCACACTCCCTTCAGCCCGACACCAAACAATTCAGCATAACCTACGGCACCGGCTCCTCCAGCGGCACCCTCGCCTCAGACACAATCCACATCGGCACCTCTCTCTCCTCGCCCCTAACCTTCGGCCTTGCCACCAATGTCTCAGACGAATTCCGCGCGTACCCCATGGACGGCATCCTCGGCATCGGCCGCGGGGGCGCAGCCAGCGATGGCGAAATCGCCGCCCCACAAATCATGGACGTGCTCTCATCGAACCGCCTCATCGCCGCCAAACTCTACGGCATACACCTGAGCCGCGCCAAGGATGGGTTGCAAGACGGCTCGCTGGACATTGGACATGTCGACACAACGCGCTTCTCAGGCGACATGAACTACCTCGATTGCGTCGATAACGACGCGGGGTTCTGGGAGATATCCTTGCAAGGCGCGAGTGTGGACGGCAAAGACGCACTCGCTTCTTCTTCTGCTGCTGCTGCTGCTGCTGCTACCGCTAACGCAGGCAGAACAGCGATTATGGACACGGGTACCTCGTTCATCCTGATCCCGGAGCCAGATGCACAAGCTATCCACGCGTCTGTCAAGGACCACGTACAGAGCGGAGAAACGTTCTTCGTACCCTGCGACACAAAGGCGCAGCTTAGCTTCTCGTTCAACAAGGTAGCATACAATATCTCGAGCCAGGATTGGATTGGAGAAAAGGTCGAGGGCCAGGGCGGGCTGTGCAGGAGCAACATTATTGGCAGACAGACGTTCAAGGCGAATCAGTGGCTGGTGGGCGATGTGTTCTTGAAGAATGTGTATTCGGTGTTTGATTTTGACAAGAAGAGGGTGGGGTTAGGGGTCAAGAGGGGGGGCGAGGAGGGCACGGTTGAGGAGCAGAGTGCGACTTCTTCAGGTATGTTTTGTTCCCTTCTTACCTTATCCAGTCGATTTGCACCTGGCTGACTTGGTTTATCGTTCTTTTAGCTGCACAGTCTTCAGTCTCACAAACGGCTTCCGGTAGTGCTGCCGCACCCACTTCGACGGCTGTGGCGGACAATGTGCCTCAGGGTCAGCAGGGCAGCAATGCTGCTGCAGGACACTTTTCGTCATCATCTGCTCTAGTGTCCACGGTAGCACTTGCTGTCGTTTTATTGTTCATGTAAAAACTTTTACGGGAAGGGGGCGTTTTTTCTCTCCACAGTCTGTCATACGAGGGTGGAAATACACTATGGTGGTACATATCTGTGCATATATACATATTTATCGAGAAAAAAATACAAGAAAACATGAACAAAACCGGTTGCACTGTTCTGCTCTGGCTGATGTGAGTGGTGCCGCTGTCATTTGTGCTATGGCTGCTGCTGTCACTGTCACTGTCAGTACTGTCACTTGTCATAGCCTCGTGACTGTACTAGCGCTATTCCATGCCCATGCCAAGTTAATGCTTTGTGCCCATGCACATGCTCATGCTCGTATTAATGCATTACGCTGGGTTTCAGCATCGACATATTGCATGAAGTGAGTATGGTGGCGTGTATTATATAAAAAGAGACAAATACCATCATGGATCCAGGTTAACATGTGGTGATGCCATTTGCTAGAGTGAGGCAAGGCAAATCAATATTAGAGGGACAGTGAACAGTGGTGCATAGGCATCATCACATGTACTACGTTGAGAGGGTCAAATAAAAGGGCAAAGCTGTCAGAGTGACACATGGCGAGTAGAGAGCAAAAAAAGCACCGATTATTAGAAAAATCCTACCATTTGCTCAATCTCGATTTCCACACGCTCGGAGAAGATAACCCCCATCATGAACTACCCCAAGATGATGTACGGTCCAAACACACAAAAGATCCAGCACAGTAAACGCCTCGTGTAGGTGCCATGAGAGAGATAGAGAGAGAAAGAGAGAGATGGGCCGGGAGCAGCCCGTCGAGAGTCGACTCGTCTGCAAACGTCGGCCGGCCATGTTTTTCCACGTCTTGCCCTCTTTCTCGGATAGACGACTATTACACACCCAATAGTCGCGACAGTTATTGTTGCTTGTCGACGCTCAACAAAGGCGCGGTTGGGCGGGTGGGGGCGGTGGTTGAACCACCTATGTGCGGTATGCCGCGCTTACAAGATCAAGCACTTCTTGGTCTTCTTCTCTTTCCTGGTCAACAGAGCAGCGCGGGTGGCGTGCTCAAACACTTCCCTGACACCCTCGTTTGTCTTGGCTGAGCACTCGAGGTACTTCTGGGCGCCAATCTTCTTGCGGACATCCTCGGCCTAGAAGGGGAAAGCTTGTTAGTCAGGGCCATTTAGTGAGGCGGGTGGCGTAGGCTACTGACCTGCTCGGGTGTGACGGGCTTCTGCGAAGTCTTGTGCAGCTCCTCAATCGTCTTCTGGTCAAAGCGCAAGTCCTTCTTGCATCCAACGAGGATGATGGGAAGTCCCTGGCAGAAGTGCAGGACCTCGGAGATCCACTGTGGTGGGTTATTAGTTAGCAGGGAGAAGACGTGCAGGGCGCGGCAGGCGACGTACCTTTTCCTGGACGTTGTCGAGAGAATCGGGCGAGTCGACGGCGAAGCAGATGAGGATGACGTGCGAGTCGGGGTAGGAGAGGGGGCGGAGACGGTCGTAATCTTCCTGGCCAGCAGTATCCCACAGGGCAAGCTCTACGTGCTTGCCGTCCACCTCGACATCGGCGACGTAGTTTTCGAAAACAGTGGGGACGTAGACCTGCAGGCAGCGTGTCAGTGCATGGAGATGGGGCGGCAGGAATGGGTGATGGGTGTTGTGGGTGGCAAGCTAGGCTGACGCGGCTCAGGGATGCGGTGGAGTACTGACCTCGGGGAAAGTGCCCTTTGAGAAGACGCTGTTGGGAGCGAGGTTAGCAAGGGGAGCAGCAGAGCAGTCGAGCAGTAGCAGCAGCGGCAGGTGGATGGGTGGGTTGGACGATGGGCGTGGAGCGATAGTGGTCGGAGTAGTCGTAGTTGGGGAGCACGTACATGAGCAGACACGTCTTTCCACAGGCGCCGTCACCGACAATAACAAGCTTTCGTCGAATCTCGGCCATGGTGTCGCGTGTGGTGTGGGCGGTGTCGTGGAAGGAGATCTGTAGGCAAGGAGGTGAGTGTGTGGATGAAGGACAGGCGGTGATTGAAGTTGGACAAGAGCGGCTTCAGGGTGTTATGGCTGGCGGGCACCATGGCCGCAACGGGGGTCGTGCTGCAACGACTGCGGCTGAGCTGCGACCTGCGCCACGCCCACGGCGCTGTGATTACGGGCTAGGGGCGCAGTCATGGGGGAGGGACGTGGCTCGTACCTGGACAGTGGTAGCTGGGGCAGAAGCAGCAGCAGTGGTGGAGGGGGAGGGTGCTAGCAGGAGGTGGTGGTAGTGTAGTGGTTGGTGGTGTTGCAGAAGAGAGAGGAGACGGGCGCGATTAGCTATCTGCATCGCCGGCCCTGCTGCTAAACCCACCGCGTCCTCCACGGCCGCCGTCACATGACCTGCCTTGCTCACCACGCTCTGTTGGCCGCCGGGCCGGGCTTGCATGCATCTGATGCTGCTTCTTCAATGCACGCCCACGCACATGCGCACACACAGGCAGAGATACGCACACACACGCACACGCACACACACACACACACACACACACACACACACACAC